CAAGACCCAACTGCAGTGTCTGGGTGATGAAACTAGACAGAGTGCATGAAGTGATCACTGTAAAGGTCAGGGTCGTGGCTCCTGAGGGAGAAAGGCGGTAGAGCCTGCAAGAGCTTTCAGAGGGGCTGCCGGGGTCAACGTTCTACGTCATGGGTGCTCACTTTACAATTCATTCCGCTGTGCTTGTCTTGTGTGGTTTTCTTAGTATGTGTTTGTGTTACAATAAAAGGATTGTAAAAATCTGAAAGAGTAAGAAAATCTAAAAAAAAATCAAATAAGTTTTCAAGTTGGTCCTTTTAACCAGAATACTTCATTCATGTACCCAGAGGCCCCACCTGAGCAATTGTATAGGTGGCCCCTGGTAAGGTAAGGGAGCCACGGTCAAGGTGCGGTGGACTGGAGGCCTTGTTACCTTCCTGAGACATTTCTGCCTTCACAGGGATTGTCCCAGCCTTAAGGGAACCGTTAGCTGGCCAGTGGCCTTTGCACATTTATCACTTGATAGTCTCTGGGAGGCCTTTGTGGGTATGATGGCACCGCTGTGTAATATGGGTGAGCTGACTTAGCAGGGAATGTAAAATCACCTGCCTTCACCGCTTCTCTCTTGGCCTGGTTTCGATGTCAGGGACCCTGCATGCCAGGATCACCGAATCCATCCTGTGGGAAGCTAGCAAGGCTGGCTTCGAGGCCCTTTTCTCCCCTGAGACCCCCGTCAACTCAAAGCCAACTGCCAACTCCTCCCCTGCGTCCCAGAGCCTCACTGCTGTGCTGCGATTTTCTGACGTAGACACCACCCCCCTGATTAGAGAGGAGGTGAGACCCAGGCAGGTGAGAACACAGCCAAGGTGATGCAGGCTCTGCCCAGTGCTGGGGAGGCTGGGAGGAGCCGGCAGGGACCAGATGTCGACCTGTGACCTCCGGAGCCTGGGCTCTGAGGTGAGCAGAGGTAAGTGAGCCTAGCGATGCCGAAGGTGCAGATGTTCAGCTTTGGGTTTTTTCTTTTCCTTTTTTAGTGACTTTAACACCAAAAGAAAGTGGGAAATAACAAGACAGATTGTATTTATCCCAATAGGGCTCATGAGGCCACAAAGCTGGGTGACTACCAGACGCCCTTCCCGTCCCAGCCGGGGCCTCCCTGGGAATGCTGAGCCCTGAGTGGATGTGACAGAGCCCGAGGGAACCTGCCCCTGCCTGACACAGAACGGTCTTTACTGTCGTTGGTGTAAGGTGGGTTTAGTTGTCACTCTAAATATAAATCAGCCAACTATTTTCAACATTAAAAATAAAATGTCAGCCCGGCTGGTATGACTCAGAGGTTGAGTGTCGACCTATGAAGCAGGAGGTCACGGTTCAATTCCCGGTCAGGGCACATGCCCCGGTTGCGGGCTCGACTCCCAGTGGGGAATGCACAGGAGGCAGCTAATCAATGATTCTCTCTCATCATTGATGCTTCTCTCTCTCTCTCCTTCCTCTATGGAATCAATAAAAATATATTTAAAAAATAAAATGTCACCTTCTTATTTGTATCTGAAGAAATTTGAATGTGGACTAATAAAGATTTGATCAGGGAACACGATTCTTCTCTGAGAAATTTCAGACAATGGCTGATTTTCCCCCTGATAGTTTTACCTCAATATTTTAAGATATTTTCGTTGGGAGCTTATGAACAAAAGAAGGAATTTAGCAGGCTCTGCTTTTAGTCCAGGCAGCTCCTAATCTGTCCATCCCCGTCCCAGATGACAACTATAAACTCAGATGATAGATGAAGGCAGCTCCATGAGGGCACTGGGCAGTGACCCAAATGAGGCAGATTGGGATGGGGTGGGGGGACACTGGGGGACAGGATTGCACTGGGTGAATTTCCTGTATTTTACAATCCCCAGCCTCAGAGCAGGCTCTAGTTCACAGGGCCTCAGATACATCATGTCGTTGATCACTTTTTAATGTGCTTATCCATTCAGAAGAACAGATACAGAAAAAGATTTCGTTAATGAAGTGTGTCTTAAAGGGCCTGTAGGTAATACTAAAAAGTATAGTAGTATACAATTAACTATAGTCTGAGAAGAAAGGGAGAGAAGTAACAGCTTGTAATTTCTCAATGTTGGTGGACAAAATAAATTTATAGATTTAAGAAGCTCAGCAAACCCTAAGCAGAACAAATATAAAGAAAACCACAGCCGTAACCGATTTGGCTCAGTGGATAGAGCGACGGCCTGCGGACTGAAAGGTCTCAGGTTCGATTCCGGTCAGGGCATGTACCTTGGTTGCGGGCACATCCCGACTAGGGAGTGTGCAGGAGGCAGCTGATTGATGTTTCTCTCTCATCAATGTTTCTAACTCTATCCTTCTCCCTTCCTCCCTGTAAAAAATCAATAAAATATATTTAAAAAAAAAAAACACACCTAAGTACATCATAGTCAAATCACTGGAAACCAAAGATCAGTAGAAAATCACAACAGCAGCCATAGGAACACAGCACACTGGTCACAGTGATTCAAATAATGGGCTCAGGAAATGGAGCCTTCAGCAGGCAGAAAACCAGCAAGGGCAGAGTTGAACTCAATAACAACATCAATCAACCAGATACAACCAGATCTACTGACTCCATCTAACAACGGCGGGACCCACATTTTTCTCAGGCTCCCATGGGCCATTCACCAACAGAGGCCACATTCTGGGTCAAGGACCCACCTTAACACATTTAAAAGAAGAGAAAGCATATCATATCTGCTCGCAAACCACAATGGAATGAAACTAAAAATCGGTAACAGAAGGATAACTGGAAAAACCCCAAAATACATGGAGATTAAACAACACACTTCTAAAGAACACATGGGTCAAAGAAGATATCCCAAGAGAAATTTCAAAATATTTTTAGATAAATGAAAAGGAAAACACGACGTACCAGAATGTTTGCGATGCAGTGAGAGCACTGCTTAGAGACACATTTGTAGCCTTGAATGCATATATTAGAAAAGAAGAAAGATCTAAAGTTCAGCATCTGAGCTTCTGCCTTAGGAAGCTAGAAAACGAAGAGCAAGTTGTAAATCCAACGCAGGTAGGAAAAAATAAATCATAAAAATTAGAGCAGAAATCAATGATATTGAAAACAGGAAACCAATAGATAAAATCAACAAAACCTAAAGCTATTTCATTGAAAAGAGCAATAAAACCAAGAAACTTCTATCCAGGCTAACTAGGAATAAAGAGAGACCACAAATCACTAATCTCAGAAATGAGAAAGCGGACATCATTACAAATATCACAGTCATCAAAATAATAATAAAAGAATACTGTGAACAATTCTATGCTCACAAACTTGGTATCCTAGGTGAAAAGGACTAATTCCTTGAAAGACATGATCTGCCAAAACCCACACAAGAAGAAATAGACCATTTGAATGGACCTCTACCTATTAAAGAAACCTAATGAAGAATTAATAACCTTCCAAAACAGAAGCACCAGGCCCAGATGGGTCCACTGGTGAATTCTACCAAATATTTAAGGGAAAAAATTATACAAAATTTCTGCAATCTCTTTCAGAAGAAAGAAGCAGAGGGAATTATTTTTTAATTCATTTGATGAGGCCAACATCACTCTAGTACCAAAACCAAAGACATTACAAGAAAAGGAAACTACAGACCAATATCTCCCACGAACATAGATGCAAAAACCCTCCACAAAAAATTACCAGAGCAAACCCAACAATGTATAAACTCTCAGTCAACTAGCAATAGAGGAGGGCTTCCCCAATTTGATAAAGAATGTCTACAAAAATGCTACAACTGACATCATACTCAATGGTGAGAAATGCAAACCTTTCCCAGTAGCATTGGGTACAAGGGAAAGGTGTTCCCTCTCACTTCCTTTAACGTCATACCAGAAGTCTGACCTAATGCAATAAGGTAAGGAAAGGAAACAAAAGGTAGAGAGATTGGGAAAGATGAAATAAGACTGTTCGTGGATGACATGAATGCCTATTGTAGAAAATCCAAAAGATTAAAAAACAACAACACCCTGCTGGAGGTAATAAGTAATTATAGGAAGGCGGCAGGATAAAAGGTTAATATACAAATGTCAATTGTTTTCCTATATACCAGCAATGAACAGGTGGGATGTGAAATTAGAAACACAATACCATTTACATTAGCACCACAAAAAAGAAATATTTAGGTATATATCTAACAAAATATGTACAAGATCTATTATGAGGAAAACCACAAAACTTTGATGAAAAACAAAAAAAAAAACCCATAAAAAACAAAGAAAGAAATAAGTGCAGAAATAGTCCGTATGTGTGTCCTAAGGGACAGGCAACTACAAACATTTTTCAACATGCCACACTCAGGAGATAGGATTCTTATGCGCCAGCGGGTATATTTCAGCCAACTAAAAATGAATTTTAAAAAAATCAAAATAACTAGCAGTGAGCTGTGAATCCGTTTAACCACAGGACGAAGGCCAGAGCAAAGTGATTAAATGTGTGAGAATGTTAGGTCATAAATTTCTGACCATAGAGAGATCCTAACTAACACTCACAAGGGTTTGGAGTGCAGAGGGGCAAGCAGGTGGGCAGGAGGAAGAGTGTGCTCATGTCCACATCTGTGCGGCCAGCAGCCCAAAGGCATTATTTGAGGTTAATAAAGCAGGTGATGGAGGTGAAAGGATATTTAAAGTGAAATCTAAGCATGAAGGAAGGTGGGGGGTGGGGGGTGGGGGGAGGAGAGGGAGGCCAGGAGCCCACACCACACCCCTCCGGGCACCACTTGTGGGGGCGCTCAGCATGCAGGGCTTAAGATGGGAGAACGGACTCTTATAAAGTGCAAAAATTAATCACGTACATATTAGAAGTAAACCAAATACATCCAAAGTTGTTCTTAAACTATTAGGTGTTTATTTTGCACAAAATGTGATGAGAGTAAGAAATATTGCTGGTATGCATATCATTCCATTCCAGCTGGTCTTTTGGATTTTGTGTCCAAAGCGGTGGTGGTGAAGACTGGTAGCCAGAAGCTGTAACAAAAAAAAAGCCACTTCCATTATGTGATTGCATAATTTTACTCTCAGAGGAGCTCAATAAAATAGAAGGCTAGAGTTGCTTTTATTTCTTTGCTGAAGATTAAGTTTCACAGGCCAACACGAGGTTGGGTAGTTAACGCCTAAGATTCTTCTGCAGAATACATTTCAACATTTAAAAACTCCTCAGCCTGAGGAATTGGCTGCCTGCTACAGTAAAACCAGGATCCGGCTTTCTCCATCTGTTTGTGGAGTCCCCACATTCCACTAGGGAGAGAAAGTAAGCCCCTAAAATAGACTCCCATCACTAGATTGACATGTCCTTTTGGTAAGAAATAATTTGCAAGGAAAGTTCCATATTCAATAGCTGCACTTAAAAAGTTTATATTTGGGGGGTTACCCATATTAAAAATATGTTGAGTGGAAATAGTTATCAATGATGATGCTAAATGTACCTTCTGATCAGGATTTCCCATCCAATGTCCTTCAACCTGAAAACAGTTTAGAAAGAGGAACTGTTTCTTCTCTTTATTTCTACGTGTCGGCGGCTCTAGGGGCAATAACACACCGTCTTGCCCCCACCCTGTCCATTTTCAGGAAGCGTCCTGCCCATCTGGGCGGGAGTCCGATGTGTCCTGCAGAGAAGGCCATGCGGCAGCCCATCTGGTGAACATTAGCCCAGGGACTTCTTGGTCGAGGTAGCTTTCACATAGTTTTGGTACAAACTGAAAATACAGGATTCAATTACAAAAGAATTTGGAAAAATAAGTGTGGTCAGAGCAAAGTTGTACGGGGATCAAAAAAAAAAAAACCAGAAAAAAAACACATTGAAAGAAAAACAGGAAAATGTGTTTTAAAAATTAAAAGCCATTCAAAGATATGCAATGTTTGCCACAAAAGTGCTTTTTAGAAACAAAATCTTCAAGTCAACTTGAGGATATTTTTTCCAAACCTTTTTCAGAGAGAATGGAAGGGCGGGGGGGGGAGAGGGAAACATAGATGTGAGAGAGACACATCGACTGAGGGCGGGGAGAGAACCTATAACCCAGGTACATGCCCTCGACTGGGAATCGAACCCGCAACCCTAGGGTGTGCAGCCTGACGCTCTAACCACCGAGCAACACCGGCCCGGGGAATCAAGTTCACATTTTTATGATATTTGCATTAATGTTGGTAAAGAACCACATAATTAAATACTTTCAGTAATTGTGAATCTAAAATCATTGTTTCTCTGTTATGCTCACAAACTAATTATACTACTTACATTTGCTCTTCTAAAGGAGAAAAGATGTTATAAATGGCAGGTTTGTGGGTCCAGAAATGCCCTTGCTGCTTGCTTTCTGTGGCAGAGCTGCAGTGACCCACCCTGTCTAATGACAGGGCCGCTCATGAATCTATACCTGTCATGGCCACACGCAAACTTTCCTTAATCCTTTTTTAATTCTAGAAAACATTGCAACTTCTCAAGGGTCAGCATGTTCCACGGTTAACTGTTAATGCACGCAGATGCCAGCCGCTGCTTCACAGACCCCCTCATCCTTCCTGGGCCGCACTCTGGGGGCAACTCCCAGCCTCCTTGTGGCCAGTGGCCCGGGACCAGGTTCTAGCCAACAAACTGTGGGAGCAGGATGCTTCCAGAAGCCCTCGCCTCCCCGCTCTCTTCCTCGCAGACACAGCCGGTGGGAAGGGAGGCAGCCCAGAGACCTGCAAAGTCCCTTGGAAGATGGCAGCTTGGTCCCTGAATGGCTGAGTGGGGAAGGGACCCTCTGTGCTACTCAGGCCCTCCCACGGCCCTCACCCTGCGGCCCAGCAGATGAACCCCTTTCAAGGACCACACTGGTCATGTGTTTGAGCCAATGAAGCACTTTTGTGACTGCCGGTTGGAGCATTTAGCCCACCCCACACGCCCAGCCACTTGTAAGAGTTCCTTTACCCCTTTGTCCTGAGATCTTGCTGAGCATTTCTGGGTTTTCTGTTCACCTCATGGTACCAGCTCTGTGACTGGAACTCTCCAGAATCGTCGTCCTCAGACACTGGGCGTGTGTTCTCAGCACTGCGTCGTGATCATTGTCCTCCCAGCAGCCGTCGCTGAGGCTCAGCTCACACTCGCTGTTTTCTCTCCGTCCTGGGCCAGAGCTCCCGCTATGACCTGCTGCTGCACGTCCAGCACATTCCATCCCCAGGATGCCCGAGCGCCCGGCAGGTGCTCCCTGCGGCCGAGCGACCAGACTCCAGACAGGTGTGCTCAGAGGAGAGCCTTCAATTAACTGCAGACTCTTCCAGCAAAGGGAGCTGGCAAGGCCTCTCCTTCCAGAAGGCTCCACGCGCTGGCAGAGCTCTGAGCAGGAGCCAGGTTGCAGAGGGTCAGCTGTTCCACGTTTTCCAGAGACCTGAGACCTAAGAAATGGAACACAGAGTCTGCTCACACCATGGGAGGCACCTTTTCCACGCTTGCTGCATGAGCTACACATCTTCATGGCAAACAGTATAATTAATAAACAAAAAGAAGAAGAAGACACTCATAACACCATCGCACAGAAAAATGCCTCATATGCCTGTCTCTATCTGAGCATAGATAACTCTGCACGTTGTGCTATATGAGCGCGTAACATACCATCTGTCGTATGGATTTTTCATTTAACAATGACATCGCTAGCAGTTTTCAAGGTCAGTAAATGGAGAGTTGCGTAGACTGACGTTGTTTGAAGAAATACAATTTACTGACTAGTTCTTCATTGTTGACCATTTAAGTTGTTCAGATTTGAGCTTTTGTCAGAAAGCTGTGAAAATACGGCTGTGCTTATAGTTGGGGGCATATCTCATATCCTCAGGACAAATTCTAAGAAGTTGCACTCATTTTTAAGGTTTCTGGTAGGTGACATCTAAGTATCCCACAGAGACAAGCGACAAAAGCGCCCATGTCCCCGAAGTGTCCTTCCCCCATGACATTCTTTTTAGTATTTGCTAATCTGGTGCCTAAAGCTGGTGCCTGGTTACTCCTTTAATTTTACCATTTCATAGCTAAGTTGGCTGGTTTTCATGGTAATTGAGCACTTGCTGTTTGTGCCTGAGTGGAGGGCTGCATGGCATCTCTGTACCTAAATCTACTTATCCAGGAGTGGGAACCGTAATCATGGCAACCTGGTGGGTTGTGTTGAGGATCAAATATGCAAATATATGTAAAGTATGTACTTCTATTAGCATCTGGCACATAGTAAGCACTATGGAAACGTTATTATCGTAGAGTCTGGTCTTAATTTAATTAAGGTATATAGTTGTTTCACTCCATTCAATCACAAATTCATATTTTATGAGCTCTTCTTAAAATTCTCCAAGTCATCAGTTCCAAATAGGCTACCCTGGACACAACTGGAACCTACTGGGTACAACTGGAGTTTGCATTTTGATAGCTGTTCCTCCCTGGCGAGACCCTGGACCTGGATTGTGGGTCCGGGAGGGGACACTCTGAGCTGCAGGTGGGTGAGTCCCTGGGGACTAGCAGCCGCGTGGTAGGAAAATGATTGGCAAAGATGGTGCCCCGAGGAGGGGGAAACGTAGAAGAGAACTGGAGCCCTCCAGAGACTGTCCATTAAACAAAGAAACATGCTTTGGGCGCCAACTTGGCTCCCCAACCTGGATGGTAATAGGCCAGAGCCTTGAGCATAACCAAACAGGCGGGTGTCCAGGAGCCTTAATGCAGCCACAGCCCATCGACCGAGGTGGACACAGGCCACTCTAGGAGTTGTTAGGTTGTAGAATTTTGCTCAATTTGTCATCTTAAAGCGATGAGCTCAACTCACACGGCGCGGGCCGGAGTTCCCACACTGTCGGATTCTGAGTGAGCACGCCCTGCCCGCCTGCCAGCCACTGCTGGCAAGTCCAGAGGAAGTGGCGTCAGGTCCTCAGGTTGTGCTGTTTGCAGAGGAAAGAACTGGAAACTATGGACAAGCCCTTACAGGACAGGAAGCGCCTCTGTGTGGGGACCAGGGAGAGGACGCAGCTCCCAGCACAGCACCCCTGCTGGCCACCCCCGCGGCCCCCTCTCTCTGCCCTGACCTCATCCGTGCACCCCCTAGCTTCTCCTACAGCCACTCCCATGGGATCTCATCATGCTGCAGTGATAACTCAGGTTTGCTGCCTACACCTCTCCATGGAACTCCAGGCCGGCACACCTGTATTCTCGGGGCTCTCCAGAGAAGCAGAACTAACAGATGTATGTATAGGGAGAGATTTATCACAAGGCATTAGCTCACACGATGATGGAAGCCAACACACGTCAGGACCTGCAGGCTGAGTCAGCAGGCTGGAGACTCAAGAGAGCTGAAGGTTTCGTTCCAGCTGAAGACAGGAAAAGGCCAGTGTCTCCATTCAAAGGCCAGCAGGCAGGAGAGTCCTTTCTCACTTCGGGGAGGTCAGTCTTTTTGCCATCCTCACACCTTCACCTGATCAGTTGAGGCCCACCGTTTGGGGAGGGCAATCTGCTTACTCCATCTACCTATATTAATTTCACCCAGAAACACCCTCGAACACAGACCCAGAGAGACGCTGAACCAAGTATCTGAGCCAAATATCAAGTTGACGGGTGAAATTAACCATCACAGCTCCTGAGCGGAGGATGAGCGTCGTCTGCCAGTTTGGGAGTGCAGAGAGGAGGGTCCTCCCCGGTCTGGACAAAAGCTGTGAGGAGCCAGCTGACCCAGAAGCCAGCCTCTGAACCTTCAGAGCTCAGGATGGCCCCCAGGGAGGGTCCCAACCGCAGGGAGTGGCTGGAAGCCACTTTCTTAAGTCGTGCCTGCTGCCTACCCACTATGCAGCGTCCTACCCTCCCGAGCAGGTGAAACCTGGGGGTGAGGGTGGGCAGAGCCTCCTGACAAGGGTTCCAGGATAGGAATGGGTGAATGTGAGGGCGGGGAGGAAGGAGAATCCTACAGGGTCACTGTCAGGGAGGCTGACAGGAAGGCAGTGCAGGAAGGGGAGCCATGCCTGTCCCTTCTTCATTCACAGCTTGCCAGTGGGTCATGGTGAGGGCACAATGCTCAGGGAATGCCGTGAGCCTAACGGACCCTCAGTCAGCGGGAAAGGGCACCTGTTGGACCTGCCCCAGGGAGTCCTTCTTGACAATGTGGGGGTCCTGAGCCCCTGGGAGATGTGGGGGAGGCGCTGCATAGAAACTGGCCAGTGCGGCAGCGCTCAGGCCTCTGGAAAAGGACGCTGCTGCAGAGCTGAGCATGTGGGGGAACTTCAGGAGCAGAGGGTGGTGCGAGGGAACCCTGACTCCAGGTGCAGCTGCAGAGGCAGGAGTAGCGGCCACCACGCTGGCATCCGCCACGCTGGCATCCTGGACTCCGGGCCCAGCAGCCACCACACCACAGTGGTGTCGGCGCCCGCCCTTCCTTACCCAGATGCCGTCAACCTAAGGGCCCTGCTGGTTTTATTGAGCCAGAGCCACCGTGATGGGGAGGGTATTTTTCGACTATTTTCTGCCGAGTGGCTCGAGCAGGATTAGCATAACCAGGCACAAAAAGCCCACACCGCACCCAGCAAGGCCGGGCAGGACCGGCTCCCACGCACCAAAGGGCTGTTAAGGAAACCCCTCTCCAGCCCAGATTTAAGTCACCCACTTCCATCTCTTCAATAACCAGGATCTCACATTAGTAATGAGAAGCCAACCGAACAGAAAGGCACCTCTCTGTGAAAAAGGAAGACAAAGCCTGAGAGCTGACACGTGGGGCAGAGGCTGCTCCATTTGTCGGCGTTTATCTCTCTTCCTGCACCTTCTGGCTTCTTCTATTCGTGGAAGGACAGAACGGAGCCGCAGCAGAATGAAAGGAAACGCAGGGCCAACGGGAGGGCGGTCTCGGCAGATCCTGAAATAAAAATGGTTTTCCCACAAAGGCTTTTTGCTTGTCAGAGATACCAAGTAGAGATATTTCCAGGCGCTATTCATGCACAGAGCCCCAATTTGTGGATTGCCACTGGCTTCTGCCCCTCCTCCACCCGAACCATCTGGGTGTGTGGCTCCTTCCTTTTAGATCCTTTTTTTAGAATAATGAGTTGGTCGTTCTCTATAGGAGGGGCGTGTGCACGTGTAGAGCCCACCAATTCCAAAAGTTATCAAAGAGAAAGCGATAAGGAACCAAAAAATTCACTGCCAATCGCATGGCCAGAGAAACTCCTGTGTCTGTCTGGTGGGGCAGGCCCACACCCGCCACTGAAGGAAGAATGACCGGCTCATGAAGGACGTGGAAGGCAGAGGGAGAGGCAGGTAGGATTTTCTTTGACTATAACAGGAGAAAAAGGCATGGAGTGAATTTGAGGACTGCTAAATGGTACATAAATAAATCTTTGTCACAAGAAATAGCTTCTAAATGATCCCTCAAAGATAGTCATCAGGCACTGAAAATAAGGCTCTGTGTTGGGACCAGCCCTCCCTTCGGCACAACATGCCCGGTCAGGTGCACGAACAGACAGACCTGGGAGAGAAGAGCAAGCCGGAAACTGGCCCAGGTATGCAGGGAAGTCAGTGTTTGATCAAGGTGGCATTTCCGGGGTTCATGTTCAGGGAGGTCCACACCCAGGGGGGCCCATCCTCAGGGGCGTCTGTGCTCAGGAGGACCCTGCTTGCAATTTTAATGCTCTGTGGTTACTGTCTTGAAATTTTAGAAATGTCATTGCTGAATTTGTGTTTTGAAGATGGAGCATGTTCTGGGCTTGGAGCCTGGGCTCGAAAGTGGCCACATCTCTCACCACCTGCCCACCCCAACTCAGTGACCACTGCCACCTCTGCTATCAGAGGCCTGGACACAGGGTGGGAAGGGGTGGAGATGAGCACGTGGACCGGAATACTAAGTGGTAGAGTGGGATCCCTGGTGCCTATGAGGGTCTGTATTTGCCTTGTAAATATTCCCATGCCCCAGGGATCATGACGGGGAGAGAGAGAGAGAGTAGATGAGAGGGAGGAAAGATAGGAGGGCGGGCGGGACAGAGAGGGAGAGAGACTTCGAAAGAAATGAAAGGGCTTTTGTCCTGCGTTTTGAACAAGGTGCCAACATTTTCATTTTTCACTGGGCCTGCATATTATACAGCTGGCCTGTGTCTCATGAATTATACAATATGTGATATTCTTCTAGGGTTTGCTCTTTAATGAACATTGAGACGTCAGCCAGACCCCAAAAGAAAAGTCCTGTATTACCTTCCTCTTGTGGTTTCCTGGGGTCCCTGCACCATCTGTTCCACCGTCCCATTAGCTCAGTCATGTAGGCACAGCAAGAGTGTCATCTGCAACCCTGTGTCACAGTCCAGGCCGATGCAATGAGGCAAGAAAAAGAAAAGCAAGAACACAGAGTGGAGAGGAGGAACTCTGTGTCTGTTCACAAACAACAGGGCTGTGGACGTCG